AATGAAAAAATAGAAAACAATGTGAAATATGTCAGTGGAAAAACAACTGACCTGGAACATAGATCCAGGAGAGATAACTTAAAAATGACTGGATTATCGGAAAGCCATGATCAAAAAATTAGCCTGGATATCATCCTTCATGAAATTATCAAGGGAAACTGCCCTGATATTTTAGAACCAAAGGGCAAAATAGAAATTGAAAGAATCACTTCCTGAAAGAGATCCCCAAAGGAAAACTCCTAGGAATATTGTAGCCAAATTCCAGAATTCCCAGGTCAAGGAGAAAATATTGCAGGCAGTCAGAAAGAAACAATTCAAGTATTGTGGAAACACAATCAGGGTAACAAGAGATTTAGCAGCTTCTACATTAAGGGACTGGAAGGCTTGGAATATAATATTCCAGAGGCTAAAGGAGATAGGATTACAACCAAGAATCACCTACCCAGCAAAACTGAGTATAATCTTTCAGGGGTAAAAATGGATATTCAGTGAAATAGAGGGCTTTCAAGCATTCTTGATAAAAAGACCAGAGCTGAATAGAAAATTTGATTTTCAAACACAAAACTCAAGTGAAACATGAAGAGATAAACAGAAAAATCATAATGGACTTATTAAGGTCGAACTGTTTACTTCCTGCAAGGAAGGATGATATTTGTAACTCATGAGGCCTTTGTCAGTATTAGGGTAGTTGCAGGGAAAAATTATATGTAATATGTAGATATAGATATAGATTTAGATAGATGGCACAGGATGAGTTGAAGATGAAGGGGTGATACTGGAGAATAAAATTAAAGAGTGAGAGAGGATTATACTGGGAGAAGGAGAAAAGGAGAGATAGAATGGGGTAAATTAGCTCACATAAAACAGACAAGAAAAGGCTTTTACAGTGGAGGGGAAATGGGGGAAAGTGAGAGGGAATGAGTAAATATTATTTTCATCAGATTTGGCTTAAGGAGGAAATAACATACACAATTGGATATGGAAACCTATTTTACCCTACAGGAAAATAGGGGGGGAAGGGGACAAGAGAGCAGGGGGATGATAGAGGGGAGGACAGATTGGGGGAGGGGGGAATCAGAAGCAAACACTTCTAAGGAGGGACAGGGTCAAAAGAGAGAATAGAATAAATGGGGTAA